CCCCCCCCCCCCAAAAAAAAAAAAAATGAAGAAAAAATAGAATATAGAACAATGATGGAAAGAATGTAAATCTAGTTTAAGAGTCATGCACATTGTGAGTCATCTTCAAATCCAACCAACAAATCGTATATTCTTTTGTGGATAACTGGAAAGATATTAAACCAAAACATAGCCTACCACCCAATTATAGACAAACCAATGTCAAGCGTACCAGATCAGCCAATAGGAATAAAACTGGTACAAAGATGGGAAAATCATGTGCAGGCAAACTATCCAAAGTAATTACATCTCTCCCCCCCCCCCCCCCCCCCCCCCCCCCCCCAAACCCACCCCCCCCCCCCCCCCCCCCCCCCCCCCCCCCCCCCCCCCCCCCCCCCCCCCCCCCNCCCCCCCCCCCTTCACCCAACCAAAACATCACCACCACCGAAAAAAATGGTAATAAAATCAATTAATTGTCCAAAGAATGTAAACCAGTTATAGAGTCACAGGAATATATTTTTTAGTCCTCTTCATATCCAATCCTATAATTGTATATTCTATGGTCATCTCCAAGAGACAGGACATTTGTTTGGCATCACCTCCCAAAACATTCACATTTGATTCCGTACATATACAGACTCATATCCCTTCTTGAACATATTGCCACTCGAGCAGTATACAACAGGTGAAAAAAAAACTTTTTGCCAAGGAGGCATCAGAGATCATGTTTACAGCTTTATTATGAGCTACCCTCAGGGCCTCAAAGTATTATGTATTCCCGAGGATGTAATCATGTCCATTATCCAAAAAAGCAGAAGTCACAAAGTATAAAGCAATTGCAATAGGATGCATCCAAAGTCTAAACCTTGACAACAGGGCTAGAGCCAACTCGTGCATCCCAGAGTATGAGGCAAGAATCATCACCAACGCTACAAAACTCCTGTGCACTACATCAAAGTCATAAAAAAACATCAGAATTGAAAGGCCACTCTGAAAATCTCAAGAAAAATGCATACCGTGGAAGGAAAATAAAAAAGATCAGGATAAGTACAATGATCTGCATCATGGAATATCTATATGGACGTACTTTAGGTACAGATACGAAAATTTTGTATTTAATGATACAAACCAAGGAAGAGAGGTCATGGCTAACATCCTGAAAAGCATAGAAGATGAACCAGGAAAAGGAAGTTACCTAGATGGACAAAACTGCACATCTTCAACTGTATCCTCATGCCCTTGGAAGATTCCACGTGGTCCAATAGTTGGGTTATCAGTAGATTTAATGATTGATCCAGCAGATACCGCAGACTTGGATGCATCGGAAGTCAATGTTGATATATGATCATGAATACTCCAAAACACCACAGACTTGTCCCTCCCTGTCAAAGGAAAGCTTCATTAATTAGTAGAAAAGCAATCAACTAACTTGATCCCATCCTAAAACAGTAGATCAAAAAATAATTGGTAGAGAACATCAAAGGCCACTGACAATTCAGACCTCACAGAGAGTTTACCATTAACAGAACACCCAAGTCCCTCCTCCTAGAAATAGAGACCCTATGTGTATCCTAACTTTGGAAGAGAACTTATTTTATATGATTAAAATTTAAGTTTCCAAAGTCACCCCACTACTTGATTTAAATTTTCACCTATAATCAACTTACCAACCAAACCTGAAAATGAAAAACTGAGGTAGACTTTGGAGTTTGGACTGTTTCAAAATACACTACTGATTTTTTGAGTAAAAACTCATTGTTTGGGACATCTCAGAACAGAAAGTGACTCATATTTCACTAAAAGTACAAATTGTAAAGAAGATGACGGCATTTGTAAAATTCTGAATCCTTAACGCAAAAAGGCATACATATACTAATTGCATGNTCAGAACAGAAAGTGACTCATATTTCACTAAAAGTACAAATTGTAAAGAAGATGACAGCATTTGTAAAATTCTGAATCCTTAACGCAAAAAGGCATACATATACTAATTGCATGAAAATTTTAATCAAAAAACTTTAGTATATAGGAAGCCATCTTACAAATTCAGTTTCAACCAAATTACTAGATGGTAATAAATTGAACAATTTGAGAGTTCAAATGAGAGAAAAACATAAACCAAAACAGACAAAAATTATGCAACCTCCAGAGAGCACAAAGGGTTCAGTTGGGCACATTGCAAGTGCAAATTCTGCATTATCTTGATGTCCACTTAATACCTGCGTAAAAGGGAACTGCAGTGTTAGCGTATAAATACCTTGGGAAAAGGTGCACAACTTGAAGTCGTGGCAAAGTGAATGCTCTTAAAAACAGATCAATTTGATCCCCAATAAGTATTCTTAGATAAGTGCAGATAGTGCATAAAACTCTAAGCACTGCAACATCTCAGATGAAATAGACTTTTCCCCTTTGCACGTAGGGGGAGGGGATTGCAGGAAGGAAGAAAAAACCTTCAGGGGATCATGTAACTAGCGGATGATTTTTATGGTTAAACTATATGTGTAATCCCTAGTTGGTCTTCCTGCATTTATCAGGAATCCTTACTAAGAGATACACTTTTAACAGCATCATATTCTTAACTGTCACAGCAAGCCCGCCAAGTTCTTTTATCGCGATTAATTCTTTAATGCCATGCCATCAATCTGTGCTTGTGTTTCCTTGCAACTTAAATGAGTAAAGTACAAAACCATCTGATATTCAGATTTTGAACAGCTTGTATCAAAGACTACATAAAGCCAGATGCAGCAGCAATCTGAGAATGCACAAAACTGTGTCCTTCCTAACAGGGACACTTTATGTTGCACACAAAAATTCCAAGTCAATGAAAGAAACTCTCTTGACGATCATTTTCTTAGGATAGAAAATCATCACTGAACGCCAGATGCAGAGGCAATCTAAAAAATCTCAGAGCCATATAGTGCCTAGGTATGTACTAAGAAGAGGATGGGGAAAAACCAACTAGAAGAACATTTTAATGGAATGACAATTTATTGTCGAAAAAAGCATCACTTCCTCTAAGGTTATACCTACTCTCTCTTTTTTTCTTTTGAATCTTCACTGCCCAGTCTAATTGGACAAACAACCTTTTGCCTGATTAAGAAAAATCATGCATAGAGACAAGCCCATGCAGTTGCATATTCCATCAGCAAGAGACACAAAAAAGGAATCCCAATCAGAATCAATGCCTAATCCGCTCACCTTTTGTCATCAATGTCGGCTAAATGTTTAATATAACGCCAGTGGTTGCTATATTTTCTGGTTTCTGCGAATTGCTGCTTGTGTGATGAAGAGATACTGACCATTATGCATGTGATTTAGTCACAGATAAGCACTTACAAATTGCTGGTTTGAGTTGCTAAGGCTGTTGGTCTGGCCTTTCTCATGTATTCATTAACTGAATATCCTATATATACTCTATGTCGAGCAACAATATAAACAATTAAAAATAAGATTGATATATAGATAGCTAGTATGAGCAATTGAGAGAGAGAGAGAGAGCCCATACAACAAGACAAAAAAAACAGCAAAATGAAAACGAGCAAAGTGTAAAGGTACACACCAGATCTGGACGAGAATCAGCAGCACCAAGGACAGCATGACGATTAGGTTGGGCTTCAACATCCCAAATGAGAACCTGATAGAATGATCACCAAATTAAAGATAACTAGTCCAGTTAACTGAAGCAGATCAAAAGAGAGTAAGACATTCTAAGATTTTATTTTTCAACCTTCTAGTAGAAAGCATGAAACCTTAATATGACCACTTACATCAGGGCAGTCAGTATGTGTTGCCACAATGTTTTTGTTTTGGGGAAGTTCCCTGATTCTGTTCACCTGCAACAAAATTCACCATAAGAGAGCATTTCCTTCAAAACATTGAAGTTGACCCATCAGTACATCCATAAGACTAAAAATCTCAACTGAATGTGAAGTACAATAAGACCTAACAAGATCACAATTTGTGGCAGTGTAAGTAGAAGTGAAGAAGCAATGAATGGACCTTCGTGGTGTAGCATGATTGGGTGCTGACGGTAGCATTTTGTTCAGTTAAAGGTACAAACTGTTACAATTTTGCTTACGAAATGCAAATATGAATTCATTTAGCTGGGGTTGTGGGAGAGGAAATGGATTATAACCAACATAGCATACACACTACACATGCACGGTGCAATAGGAAATATGTANCTACAAACTGTTACAATTTTGCTTACGAAATGCAAATATGAATTCATTTAGCTGGGGTTGTGGGAGAGGAAATTGATTATAACCAACATAGCATACACACTACACATGCACGGTGCAATAGGAAATATGTAAATACCACATGAATGTATTCTTGTGTTTTCTATATCTATGGAATTATGTGCCACATACCTCTCCAGGGTGTATAATAGTTTTATACTTTTTCACAAATGGGGAGCGTGCTTCCTCATTGAACTGGAAAATCAGGCAATTAAATATAACGAAATCAGAGCAGCTCCAATACATCAAGTCGAAAAAAATATATCTTATAACAACATTACATGTGCTATATGATCTTTGGCTGCAACCCTTGGTTTAACAACGTCACAATTTGCAATAATCAGAGTATTTGGAACACTGTCATCAGTCTGGTAAACAGCAGAAAAACAAGGTAAATAAGAGAAGTTAATGTATTTGTTAGATACAAGGCATATTGATTGACATCTGCGAGTTAACTTTACAAGCTGCCAACAGGTCTATTTAGGAGGTCATAATAAAGTGGGTCTCCAGACATAAACTTGCATATACAAGCATGAGAAATCACCTTCCCTTCAAGAATCTAATGTAACAAGTTTTTTCTTCTAAAAAAGGATTCAAAATCCATAACCATACTTAACACAAAAACATTGCAGTGTCTGGCTGGTGGGTAGGGCGAAGATATTGCAAGCCATGACCAATGAAACTCAATTACATAGTGTCCCATTTGATGAACAAATGAATGTTTGAACTAGCATTATTCCAAAAAGAAAAAGGTCGAAGAACTAAAAACTCAAACTAGCATTATTCAACTACTTATGATTAAAGAAATGATTGATGTCAGGTATTATAACACGATCGGTCCTTATTAGATCTAAAAAAGAAAATAATAGAGTAATGAAAAAGATAAAGCAAGGAAAACCGAAATATTACTACTGCTTACACATCAAGTACAAATTAATTGCAGCTACTGCAACCACTTTGGCAACTTCATATATTAACCATCAAAAATATATTCCATACTAAGTAGTTTGACAAATTACTGAAACAATCCCACTAACAAACAGATCATTCAACACATGAGCAACTCACCCGTTCAGAAAGATAGAGTCGTTGTCGATTCTTGACAGTCCCTTGCTCAAGCAGTGGCCCCCACCTAAATATCAAAAAGTTCACAGCAAACTCCGTCCATCATCGAACATATCAACTAATTCAAAACAAAATCTCTATAATCAGCTTCCTTTGAAACTTAATACTCTCCTTTCCCACATCAATCAAAAGCACATTGATCTATTTAAAGTAGAACTGCAATTAAGCAACCTTTAATACAAACCAAAAACCCCCTTTACACATCAATCAGAAACTACCAACACCTTATGCAGTTATGCTGACCATATCAAATGTACCCAACTACCCCACAGAACATAAATAAATTAACTAAGAACAATCTCAATCCGCCATCAATTCGACCTAAAAAGTGGAAAAGCAACTAGATATCCTCAACATTCAACTTAAGAATTACCTTTTCCACATCAATCAAAAAATTTCAAGCACAGATATTCATCAAATCAGACACACACACAGAGACATTTCTGCTTTAAAGGATAACTCAGACAATCTAGAAATTTTGAAGTAGCAAAACAGTTTCAAAAACCCCCAAACAAAGACACATTTACATAGACACGCACATCTACATATGTATAAAGAGCAGTTGAAAATCGTACCGGCAAGAGAGAGAAGGCCAAACAAGGTTGTGATTAGAGAACCAATCATAAAGAACAGGAACTAAAGACTTCCACTGCGTGTACTTTTCGTCGACGGCGACCTTCCTATCGACACCGCCACCACCTCTGTCTTTCATCTTCGTTTCAATTTCTCTCTCCTCTTTGCTTTTCGTCGATCCCTTTGGCCTTCCTCGCTTTCTTGGCTGAGTTGAAGGTTCTTCCATTGAAGGGTTTTCAAAGTTAACCTTCAAGAAACTAGAGTGGGACTGGACCTACCAGAGTGAGTGGTGTGACTCGTTTGAGTCGGAGCGGGTGTGAGAAAATGACTAAAATGCTAGTGACTAGTAAGAGTAGCTGAGAGGTACAGTTCACGCTATTTTGTGGGAGTATATTTTTCACGCGTCGGGGTTTTTTTTAAGAAAAAATTACATTCAAACCTTTGATATTTGTCATTTAATTATTTATATTTCGTGACATTTGAAATATGTAATACAAATCCCCTAAAATTTATACACAGACAATAATTAAACTCTTATCGTCAATGTCCATTAATATATCCATTAATAAATTATATTCAATCGCACTGAAATTTATAACACACGTAATACTTAAACCTTTTAATTTTAAAATATTATACTTAGACAAAATATTTTAATTTAAAGATAAAATATCAAATATTTTAAATTTTATAACTAAAATTCATATTCTATTATGTCATTTATTGAAATAAAATTAAAATCCAATTTTTTTATATAAAAAAAAATCATAATTAGTTATGTTGATGCCAAAATTTGGATGACCTCCATGTTAATNATTAAAATCCAATTTTTTTATATAAAAAAAATCATAATTAGTTATGTTGATGCCAAAATTTGGATGACCTCCATGTTAATTAGATAGTTAGACTTTGATCACATGAAAAGGAAGTCGAAAACTAGAGGAGAGCTCTGGGAAGGTCAACTCTCTGATGCCTAAGTCAGTAAATGACTCAAAGATATGAACTGCGTTTCAAAGTTAGGTATGACATACTTGAAACATCAATGGAGCTATATTTATAAGAGTTTTAGCAGTTTAAATTGCGTAGGGATAATGATTAAAGATCTAATCAATCATAGAAAGCTCAGTGAATGTACATGCACAAATAAAGAGTAATACCACTCTTTTTACACAATAATATTATCTCAAACAAACTAAGAGTGTACCACCACAAAAACCATCATTTTGTGTGTACATCATATATTTATATATCGTTTCCGCTACACCATACTTGCTACTAAGGTTATATCATAATCGCTACTAAAGTCTTATCACATTCGCCACTAAGACTATATAATATCTGATGATACACAAGTTGGTATTGTGCAAAATCAATAGTTAAGAATATATAATGGGTGTAGTTAATGAGCAATTAATAGGCAATCAATGGAAAAACAATAAATAAGAGCAAAATACACAAATTTATAATGGTTCGGTCCCGATAACCTATTCTACTCTCGGGAACGACAGCAATGGCCGAAGATCTGTATTGATGAATAATGTCACCGAGAGAATTTACTCCAGGAGAGTTATAATGGTGAGAAGAGAGAAGCAATGAGTGTAGGGAGGTGTAATTTGTGTAGGGATATCAAAGGCCTGTCAAAATGTCTCTCCTCGTCGAAAGAGTTTACATTATATAAGTTCAATAAGGCAGTGAGGAGATGACATGAGGGAGAGAGTTTCTACCATCTTGGTAAGTACAACTATGGTAGGATTAGAAGATCTCCGTAGCAATGCGTATCTCGATATTCTCTCATCGTGCTCCTATTTTGTCGGGGGAGGATCCTGAGGTAGGTTGGACTTGATCCTGAGCTTGAACTTGAGCTGGAATGGCAATGTGAAGGAGAAGAAGCATGGAACAAAAGAGAGGAGGGTCCCCTTGGGGTGGCCTCCTTTGGGTTGCGCCCCTTGGGGTCTCCTTCGGGCGTTGATCACTTGAACTCCTCTTGGTGCATTAGGTTTGGGCTCCTCTGGGTACTGATGATTGGACCCCTCTTGATTTACTTCCATTGGGCCTGGTCCAATTTATTTTGGGCTCATCAATATCTACTACTAAGTGGCCGAGATCATATATATGTCTTTAAGGCTATAAACATAACCACCATGCCATTATAAGCCAATATAACAAACATTCATACTCTAATAATAGTTCAGCATTCTCAAGTCATTTTCAAATACATGAGTAGTACACTCACCTTGGATTGGATTATACCTCAAGTTCGATTCCCTGTCAGAACTTTAGGTGAAATAGTCGATGATGTTGATGCCTCCATACCTACAAGAAGTTCTTCACCACCGAAACTCCGCTAGAATTTCGGAGTGAGAAAACCTTGAAACCCTTGAATCTTCAATTCTATGCAAGACACCCCAATGAGCTTGAACTTAGCTAAGATTGTGGAGATTTTGGAGAGTAGGAGATCACTTGTTCCAAGTGGGTAAGAATTTTTTCAACGCCTTTCTGGAATTGAAGAGCTCTTCTAGGAATCCTTCATCCTCCTCTTCAAACCAATAAATTAGTATATGCAAGAAACCCTCCACTAACTCAAGAATTCCACCGATATTCTCTAGCTAGAAGGCTTTTGATTAAGAGAAGTGTATGCTATGACTCACCACTCTTGAGTAATTACACCAAAATCCCTCCTAACTCCCTTTAATCACATATTCCACATTTAATCTTCCATTAGCTAGCTAATCACATTCCACACTTTGTTGATTCTATAATTAAACCCTAGAATTTATTATCAGAGTTCATACTTTATTTCCAGTGCTTTCAATAATTTAATTTTATCCCAATAACATCTATATTTTACATTTAAGCCTCGACACTCTATGAAATATCATGTATGTATGTTCGGATCTCACACCCTCCCCATCTCCTAACTCCTAACCCTTTAGGATATGTTTGGTATGTGGGACAAGGGGGAATTTGGAAGATGGGTTGAGAAAAAAAGTCCACAAAAATTCATCAAACTCATGATTGACAACTACATTTATAGCCTAGGTTACCAAACCCAGCCAGTTTTAGGCCTGCAATTTAAACCCATATTCATGGGTTTCATGAAACCCGGTGGGGGGTGGGTTTCATATGGGAGTTACAGGGTTGAACATGCAAAATGACATTTATATCCCCCATATAATCCATATACCCCAAATAATCAAATATTAAAATAATCAAATAATCAAAGATTTATATCCTAAATAATCAAATATTAAAATCATAAGGACACAAGAAAATATACGTATACAAACATGAGTTTAAATTAGATTGGTTAAAGGACACAATATTTATTTATATACAAATATATTATCATAAATAGTGATATATCCGTGTGCATATCAAATATGGGTATGGACGGGATTAAATGTTGAATCTCATTTTTATAAAAAGGGATTTGAGTTTGGAAGGGTTTAAACAAGTCAATCCAAACCCCTCCCAAAAAATCAACCAAACAGACCCTTCAAGACCTCCTTTCCTATCCCCCCCCCCCCCAACACCTGGAAAACCTCTACGCCAACAACTCCTTTATGTGGTTTTTGGCTGATTCGAGGGTGGCGACTCACCATTTATGCAAGATTTTTAGATCTAGAGTGAGAGAAAAAAAGGTGATTGAGTCATTAGATTTAGGGTCGTTCAACTAGAGATGCAGAGTCTTGGGTAAGGGAAAAGAATGAGGGTTGGTATCAGAGGGTTGGGAGTGGTGGTGGTGACAATTGGGTTTAAAGGGTTGGGTGCGGTCGGGAGTGTTGCGGGGAAGGGTAAAGGGCTTGGGGGATCTCTGTGTGGAATTAATCACCAAAATACAACAATTTTCAAACAAAATTATCAAAATACGATACTTTTAAACTTATTTATCAAATTATGACACTTTTTAAAAGCAGATTCAATAATTCCGTTTTTATTATAAAGCGAATTCAATAATTCCGTTATTATTAGAAAGTGGATTCAATAANTAAATATGGGTATGGACAGGATTAAATGTTGAATCTCATTTTTATAAAAAGGGGGTTTGAGTTTAGAAGGGTTTAAACAAGTCAATCCAAACCCCTCTCAAAAAATCAACCAAACAGACCCTTCAAGACCTCCTTTCCTATCCCCCCCCCCAACACCTGGAAAACCTCTACGCCAACAACTCCTTTATGTGGTTTTTGGCTGATTCGAGGGTGGCGACTCACCATTTATGCAGGATTTTTAGATCTAGAGTGAGAGAAAAAAAAGTGATTGAGTCATTAGATTTAGGGTCGTTCAACTAGAGATGCAGACTTGGGTAAGGGAAAAGAATGAGGGTTGGTATCAGAGGGTTGGGAGTGCTGGTGGTGATAATTGGGTTTAAAGGGTTGGGTGCGGTCGGGAGTGTTGTGGGGAAGGGTAAAGGGCTTGGGGGATCTCTGTGTGGAATTAATCACCAAAATACAACAATTTTCAAACAAAATTACCAAAATACGATACTTTTAAACTTATTTATCAAATTATGACACTTTTTAAAAGAAGATTCAATAATTCCGTTTTTATTATAAAGCGAATTCAATAATTCCGTTATTATTAGAAAGTGGATTCAATAACTCAGTTTTTAACCTTTTTTTTTTTTTAAAAAATGTGGACACTGATGAAAACATATTTATTAAACACCCTTTCTATTGGTCTCCCTCACTTACAATACTCTATGTCATTGTGCATGATCACAGTCCACTTGAAGTCGTTGAAGTTGAACTGCCAGATGAAGTGGTGGGACTCGCCAAGGTGGTTGCCATTTTTGTNGGATTTTTAGATCTAGAGTGAGAGAAAAAAAAGTGATTGAGTCATTAGATTTAGGGTCGTTCAACTAGAGATGCAGACTTGGGTAAGGGAAAAGAATGAGGGTTGGTATCAGAGGGTTGGGAGTGCTGGTGGTGATAATTGGGTTTAAAGGGTTGGGTGCGGTCGGGAGTGTTGTGGGGAAGGGTAAAGGGCTTGGGGGATCTCTGTGTGGAATTAATCACCAAAATACAACAATTTTCAAACAAAATTACCAAAATACGATACTTTTAAACTTATTTATCAAATTATGACACTTTTTAAAAGAAGATTCAATAATTCCGTTTTTATTATAAAGCGAATTCAATAATTCCGTTATTATTAGAAAGTGGATTCAATAACTCAGTTTTTAACCTTTTTTTTTTTAAAAAAAATGTGGACACTGATGAAAACATATTTATTAAACACCCTTTCTATTGGTCTCCCTCACTTACAATACTCTATGTCATTGTGCATGATCACAGTCCACTTGAAGTCGTTGAAGTTGAACTGCCAGATGAAGTGGTGGGACTCGCCAAGGTGGTTGCCATTTTTGTCGTAAAGAGTGAGGCCGAGCTGGATCAGGTTCAAAACATCGACGTTTGACTTCAAAACCTTGTAGTGATCGAAGGGTCGTAGGTGGTAGTTGTGACGGCAAGTTATAGGGTCCACTTGGGGTTTGAAGATAACGTCGGTGAACTCTGTGTCCATGGAGATATGGGGATACTGATCAATGCACTCTTTGATGAGCTCGAATTTGGATTCCAAGTTTTTTGTCTAGACTTCTCTGATCACAATTGATTCGTCAACGACCAGTGAGGGAGACTAATGGCACAGAGTATTGTAAGTGAGGGAAACTAATAGAAAGCGTGTTTAATAAATACGCTTTCATTAGTATTCACATTTTTTTTAAAAAAAAAGGGGTCAAAAGCGGAGTTATTGAATCTGCTTTCTAATAAAAATGAAATTATTGAATCTGCTTTCTAATAAAAATGAAATTATTGAATCTGCTTTCTAATAAAAGCGGAATTATTGAATCCGTTTTCAAAAAATGTCACAGTTTGATAAATAAGTTTAAAAGTGTCATATTTTGGTAATTTTGTTTAAAAATTATTGTATTTTGGTGATAGATTCTGTGTGTGTGAGAGAGAGAGAGAGAAAAAAAAAAGGGGAAGGGATGAAGAGTTGTAGGTTTGCAGAGAGTGGTGGTGGTGGCAGCAGTGATGGTAGTCGAGTGTGGGAAAAAAATGAGTGAGATGTGAGAGGAGAGAGGAAGAGATTTTTTTTGACTTATTTATATAATTTTTTGATAATATATTTTATTTATTATGTATTTATTTAAAATTAAATAGTCATATTATCACTTTTCTTAACACTGGCCATCTATGTACGCCGACAAGGGATCGCTTTGTCATTTTAGAAATGTTAAGGGATCGTTGTGTCATTGGTTAAATGTTAGGAAGTATGAATGTAATTTACCCTAAAATTTAAATCTAAAAATAATATGTATTTGCTTAAACCTTTGCAATCATTTTGCAAATAAATCGAATTTAAAAAATTTGAGAGTCAACCCGAATAAGTTGATATTTATAATAATTCTTATTAGTACTAGTAATGTACCACGTGCTTTGCACGTGAATAATTTTGTTCATAAAAATTAATAAAATATATTGGCTATATGTATGTTTGAATTAAATATCATTTTAAATTCACAAAATTTAATTTTTCATTACTCATATTCTATTACAAGATTATGAAAATTTTGTATATTCTCAAAATTATTTGTTCTAACTATTAAAAATAAATAAATAGTTACAGTTCTATTTTTTTTTAATTTATGATTGAGGTTAATTTTTTAGTGATGTTTGAGAAATTAAATTTCTTGAAATTTATTTAATTATGATTTCACTTATAATTTCTTAAATAAAATAAAAATAATTGTCAATATACTAATCACATTGAAATCTTATTGTAATTAAAAATTAGTTAAGTCAATTAGGATAAAATTTAATATATTGTTCTATAATATAATATATATTATTAAACATATTAAAATTCTACTTAAAAATATACTACAATGTCTATTTTTACATAAGATCGTAGTACAACTTTAAAATTTTATTGTGATTGAAGAATTATACAGATGTAACGTAAATTAATTTTAAAAAAATTATATATACAATTATTTTTTATCTTAGAAATAAAAATGTTAAACTTTTCGATAAAAAGGAAAATACGCATATGTAGTCATCTTTGCATATAAGATAAGTAATATTAGATTGATGAAATTTTTAAAAGTTTTTTGAACACTTTAGAAAAAATATAATTATGCATATTTTTTTAAGGGTAATATAGTCAATGAAATATTTTTATAGAAACAAATATTTATACACAAAGAATAGATATTTAAAAAAGATGTTATAAATAATTTAAAAATTTAAATACATATGTATATGATAATAATTTAGATATTTAGTTATGAATAGATAGAGTGATCTTTACAATCCTACATAAGGGTAAAATAAATATTCAAAATTTTTTTTATTTTAAGATACTTTTATTAGTAGTATAAATAGATTAAACAATACCTATCCAACAACAAGAACAATTTTACATTTATTCTCAAGTAACTTTAGAGAACTTCACTAGTGATTCTGTAAAATTTTGGGAGCTTTTGTTCTTTTTTTAATGATTATAAGGTTTAACATTTTAATTTTAGGGATTTTTTTTTTAAATTAAGCTCTAGTTCAACTTGAATGCATATAAAATCTCAAAAGAGTTGAACTTAAGTAAGTATGTAACCTCGGTAGTCGAGTTCAGCCGATTACAATGAATCTGAACAAATTTAAACTTGATAAACTCAAATCAATTGACACTTCATATGCAAATTTAAACTTGATAAATTAAAAATTCGTACCAAATTCATATCCATGACACAAATCTTCTAATAATCCATTGAATAAACGGGTCAAATCAGATTGCATATACATTACCTTCGTAGAAAGTTGGTTTGACAAATGAGTTTTATATAGTTTGACACGCTTAGTCAACTTTGCCCAAATGGCATTAGGAAGCACGTGCCAATCTAATTTAATATTTATATAATAAAATAGATTATAATTCAAATTTTAAAAGATAAATAAAATATTTTTTTTTTTGCGGTTCAGATCATTTTAAATTTTACTTTAAAATTAATCTAACTAACGGTTAATATTAACACCTTAAATTTAATAAAAAAAATATGTTTCTAAGAATGTATTTGGAGTAATTTTTTTAAAATACTTTTAGAAATTATTTCTCATAAGTACTTTAAAAAAAATAGTATTTAAAACCGCTCCACCACTACCTTTACTGCCGCCGCCGCCACCACCACCAACGCCACTGCCACCACCGCCGCCGTCGCCATCACACCACCATTATCGCCACCACAACCGTCGCTATTATCATTATTGTCGTCGCCGCCATCGCCACCACACCACCACTAACGCCACCACTACTACCACCGCCACCGTCACCAGCACCGTCGTCGTCGTCGTCGCCGTCATCGCCACAACCACCACGATCATTGTGACTCACCACAACCATCACTGTCTCTTACCACCACCACTGTCATCCACCACATTTCTCCTCCACTACAACCGATGTTTAAATTTATTTATCTCTCCTTTATATTTGTGATTTAATTTTAGATATGAATACAAATATATTTATTGTTTACCATTTTTTATTACTCTGTGCCTTCAGGCACATGCAATAACTAATGATTGTATAATTCGAGAGTCTGTGATACTGTCGAATATAAAAATGATTAGAACTATTTTCACCTCTTAAATCTCTTTTTTTCATTCCATTTAATTATTTTCACCGCATATATATTTTTTAACTTAAAAAAAAAAATTCATTTACATTCACCATATTAATTACTAAATTCACCTCATCTATATTTATTAATTAAAAATTAAATTCACTTTATTTTATTTCAACCTATTATATAGGCAATGATTTAAATTTTATTNCCATTTAATTATTTTCACCGCATATATATTTTTTAACTTAAAAAAAAAATTCATTTACATTCACCATATTAATTACTAAATTCACCTCATCTATATTTACTAATTAAAAATTAAATTCACTTTATTTTATTTCAACCTATTATATAGGCAATGATTTAAATTTTATTTCGGTATATTATTTTAGTGCGAAATATTTTAGAAACAAAATAAAAATTAATAATTATTTTTAAAATATTAGTCAAAATATACAAAAATATTTTAAAACACCTCAAAATATTTCAAAAACATTGATAAAAATATATCTAAAGACGTCAAAATAATATAAATCACCCTGAAATATTAAAATCTCACTTTAATTACTATTTTTGTTTCGATTTATTTGACATATATTTAATAATTTAATTGAATAAATAGGAAGAACTTAATAATTAATGGGATATGTATAGATAAAGTGAATTTAATAGTTTAAAGTAAGATAATTAAATGGGATGAAAAAAAGATTTTAGGGACGTAAATAACTTTACCCTATAAAAATTGCAACAACTTCTTATATGTAAAATTCAAGGCCATTTTTTGTCATTTACTCTATTGGAAATTATCATGCTAGACTGATCAAACAGAGGAACCCAAGTTTCTTGTCACAATGCTAAGTTCACTTTCTTTTTTCTTCTCTCTTTTTTGGTATTGTTATCAGTGAGTATCCGATCAGCTTAAGCAATCCAAAGAACAATAAATTCAATCAACTAATTTGGTGGGTGAATTTCATGAAAATAGTATTAATGATCAATGTTGAAAACACTGGGCCTGATCTAGAAACATTATACTTCAAGATCATATCAAACCGAGAGCGGTAGATTGCTCCCACACCCATGACAATAGCTCTAGATCTATTCTGACAATCACTCAGTTTTGGTTCAAATCTTTTTCTTCAATTTTTTTCTCTAATTTTTTTGTTTTGCCAAACATAAAATGTTTGGTATGGGTGTCTGGTAAACCAGAAGCAAGTCTAGAAAGATTTCCTACAGCAATTTATCAAATTTCTACACCTCCACAAGACAAAGAACATGCGATGCAATCGAAAAATGCTGTCCTCAAATTAAAAGCCATAAGAAGTTCTAATTGCAGATGCCAAAATTTATCGTCCTTCACGTAGATCTTGTTTTGACAAAGACAGACCCGCATCAATGTGCAATTAAACATAAACTCCAGAAGCAAGGAGCAGGAACAAGGATCCAAATCCCTACACCATAGAAATGAAAGTTCAGCATCAACAAAGAAAATTAAAATGCGATGGCATGAGAGGCGTACAGAACTAAGGACGTACCAAGAAGACAGATGCCACAGCCCCTGTTATGAGCTCCTTAGCAAGACTGCGATGCCTCCTAGATGAGGTAGCTTCATAGCTGCAACAGACATTTACCATTGTTACAAAGCCATACCACAGAAAAAGGATGGGGGCATGTAGAACCTAACAACTAAAACAACCTGAACTACAAAATTATTTATTCTATTGAAGGAAAATATATAAGGAACCAACTTCTATATTTCGGCATTTTCAAAAAGGAAATGCCTAAGGAACTACCTTTGATGATCATTAGCAAGTTTTAAAAATAACAAGTTCCATATAGAGCAGTAACTTAAAACGCACACAACCCATATCCAATGAGTTCTACTCAAACCAACTTTGAAATGTCATGACTCATGACATAATTCAGGAATCAGACGTATAACCAATACAGCAGGCCCACAGTCAAAACATCAATAGGTCTAGGAATCAAATTCTATAGTTTGAAGGAATAAGAGAAACATATGTAGAAAGGGCATGAATATAATGACTACAACATCAGTGTGACAGCAATGAGTTCATGATATGGTGCTATTCTGCTCAAACACTTAAAGTCAGNCTAGGAATCAAATTCTATAGTTTGAAGGAATAAGAGAAACATATGTAGAAAGGGCATGAATATAATGACTACAACATCTGTGTGACAGCAATGAGTTCATGATATGGTGCTATTCTGCTCAAACACTTAAAGTCAGCTATGAGAGCATTTTTATGGGATTCGCATGAGAACTAAGAATTTCAAAACATAAACAATTAACAAAAAGGGAAGATACAAAATTAGTTAAGATAGTTTGGTCATGCGCAAGGGAACAATTGGTGCACTAGCAAGATATGATAAAAATCCAGTCAAAAGCAAACAAAGCACTACAAGGACAAGGNTTTCAAAACATAAACAATTAACAAAAAGGGAAGATACAAAATTAGTTACGATAGTTTGGTCATGCGCAAGGGAACAATTGGTGCGCTAGCAAGATATGATAAAAATCCAGTCAAAAGCAAACAAAGCACTACAAGGACAAGGAAAATCAGATCAGGGATTGAGAAAGAAACATGATCAATCACTTGACATAAGATAAGGCCCCAGTCCCTAGATCCACCAACTGCATTGGCTATATTCGTAACTGAACACTACACTTATTCTGCTAGTCCTGAACTTTTTCCACGAAAGAGAGCAAGAATAATGAGGCCCCTTGGATAATATCCATAGCCCTATCAAGTATAAACCATATTAGAAAATCCATACCACAATTTTTTTTTTTTACCACAATGGGCTTTAATACAATCTCAAGCACACTTGCTCTAAGTGNCTCCATAGCCCTATCAAGTATAAACCATATTAGAAAATCCATACCACAAATTTTTTTTTTTACCACAATGGGCTTTAATACAATCTCAAGCACACTTGCTCTAAGTGCTAACTGCCAAATGACCATACTCACTATGCACTATGCACGACCAACATGCCTATGGCAAAGAAACGAACATGCCTATGGCAAAGAAATTATTCTTCTTCGATTTAGGGTGGAAAATGAAGCTGCCCAAAACCTCAATTGTCAAAATCCAAAATCACAGATCAAGAGTAATTCTTGACCGAAAACCCCAGGAAAAAAATAATTCTTTTTTCTAAAAAAATACATTTCCAGTATATTTCAAAAAAGCATAAAGATTAATAATTACAAAACCCCCAATTCTCATATCCAAATCCCAATTCTCAAGCCCATAAACAAATGAATTCTTTTTGCCAAAAAAAAAAAACTTACATTTCCAGTATATTACAATCAAGCATTAAGAATAATAGTTACAACAACAGTTAAAAAAAAGCGCAATTCTAAATCTAACCACAAGCTATATCGTAAATCGCATATAAAAGATTTGTAATTCAGTCTATGGAAATTATTATTTGTTCAATTGTTGTGTGAAATGAAAAGGGATCAGATCGCTTACATGAAAAATGAAGCGGTGACAACAAGGCCGATGGCTAGCATGAAGACAGCTAGGGTTGGGTACCAAGCGTCCGGGACTGGGCTGGAGATCGGCTTCACAGACTGAGCCTTGACAAATTCAAAAACACACAAAACAGAAACAAAAATTAAAAATCCGACGAAAACAAAAACACATAAAACAATGGAAAACTGAAAGATATTGTAATAAAATTTGATACCATATTGCGATTATTTGAGAGAGAATGGATCGATCTTCTTCAATTCGGAGGTTTCTCTTTTGGGTGTTGCCTGAAGTGAAATACTCAAAAATTGGGGGCGCTCTAAATGTGAGAGTGAAGAGCTTTTATTAGTGCCGCGGCATCACACGAAGGTTCGTGGACGATCTGAGCTTGGGTAAGTTGTAGGTAGACGTGGTAAACGAGTCGAACCAATGAGTTCCGACCTGAGTTTAATGAACTCGTTTTATAAAAGAGTAATATTATTGGTATCTAATTTATTAATATAATTTGTTAATTTAACTGTGATATTTGGATTCACGGTAGATCCTATCAAACATTAGAACTTGGTGTTGATCTAATAATTTTAATGAAGTCACATTATTATGTTAACAAATTAAATCATTTTAAAAAATGAGTTTAAAAACTCGTTTAAACTCGGTTCATTTTTAAAAAGAACGAATTTGAGCTTAACGCGAATAATTTGACTATTTTAAATATAAACGAATCGAATTTTTCGAATTCGAATCGAGCTTATATGAGTCACTTTTAAAATAAACATAAAAAATTTTTAAGCTCGAATTGAATTCGATCCAAACCTGAAGAGGTCATAAAGAATACTTTGATCAGGAGGTCTCTTTTTTCGCACCATTAAATTCACTTTATTTATAGTCGCATCATTAGTTATTAACTTCACTTCATTTATACCTATTAAATTAAATTATTAAATATATATCAAAGAAAATTAAAACAAAAATAGTAATCGAAACAAAATTTCAATATTCCTAGTTGATTTATATTATTTTGAGGCGTTTTGAGATATTTTGATATATTTTTACCAATGAGTAATATTATGCTGATCAAATTTTAAAACCAAATTAAGAGCTCATATGACATGACAGCATAGTATTTGGAGTCTTTATTAGCGCTCAAATGACATAACACTAAATAAGGAAGCCCAAATTAACTGTCATGTCATTTGGACTCTTAATTTGATCCTAAAATTTAATCAGGTCATTAATCATAATTCTCAAAATACCAAAAAATACCCTCCAAATTTATCCAACCTCTCATTTATTTTTTTAACCTATATATGAAATATATATATTAAAATTTAACACTNAGAACTCAAACCCGAACCCAAAGTTGAATAATTTGACTATTTTATATATAAACGAGTTGAGTTTTTTAGACTCATTTTTTAAATAAACTTAAAAAATTATTCAAATTTAACTCATGTTTTAAAAAAAAAATCGAGGCCAACCTGAAGAGTTTCGTTGGGGATAGAGAATTTATGTGGGAAGATGCTATATATAACTAATCTTGTTAGCATTGTTCAAAAGTGTCTGGGTGGTGTAGTCGGTTATCACGCTAGTCTCACACACTAGAGGTCCCCGGTTCGAACCCGGGCTCAGACATTTTGTAATTCTATGGACTTTTCTTACTACTATTCAAGTTGGCACTACTTTCTTTATTTTTTCAGTAATTTTATAGTGGTCAAATTTAGAGTCCAAATAAAAATGTCATGTCATTTGGACTTCAAATTTGATCCTAAAATTTAGTCAGTGTAACATTATTATTATTTTTTTGCCTTTCCAACCAAACAGGACCACTGATACGAGTGAATGCCAGTTCTTGCATTTTATCGTATCATATCGACTCTTCTTACTGCAATATGATATTATAGACTAAAATATATTTAAAATACTGTAATTATAAATTAACCACAGCTCACAGCCTATCATAAAATAATGTGGAAGCTAGCCCCAGTAGTGATAGAGTGAGAAGTACAAAATATTGTTAGAAATAGTTAGTAATATAAGATATCTTACATTGAAAAAGTAAAAAATGAGTATAAGAATTTAAAATGAGAAACACATCAAATTTTATAAATTTTATAAATTTGGAGGGAAGTTTTAAATATTTCAAATCAATGGGTTTTGATTAAATTTTAAATAAAATAATATTTAAAGTAACAAGATTGGCACTTGGGCCATCTTGGGTTTGAACTCTATAATTGATTAATTATTTTTGGATTAATTAATGTCTCTTGGCCAAAAAATTGCTTGTACAGATCTTTCAATAAAGAAATAACGTTTATCTATTCTGTTATTAGGAGAATTTTAGAATTTGTTATCTAAAATTTTGTTTGGCTTTGTTAATCTTAGAAAAATTTGTCATAAACCCAGCAGTAATATAATGGGGGCATAATTTCCTTAAAGAGAGTGAATATTCGTTCAAAGCTTTCTAACTTGTTTAAGTTATTTTTGCTAACAAATATATGTGAATAATAATTAAATTTATATATCTTGATACGTGTAAATAATTCTCAAAAAGAACTTAGGGTGGCTGCGTGCATGCCCACCTTCGCCCCTTACAAGATTTGCCCATGTCTAAGAAGCAACCAATCCAGCACAGATATTTTGTAAAGATCGTGTATCCGATGAGAAAATTGTATATGATACGATATTCGTCGGATACTCAAGATTACATATCGAATATATATCATATGTATTCGATAATTAATAAAATATGTGAATATTTCATAGATAATTCTAACCACAAAGTAAGATGTATAATTTTTAATTTTATTTTATATCTTCTCCATTTGAGGCTATATATAATAAATGCATCAACAAAATTCTATTTTATTTTGATGACACGTGTATTTTTTTAAGTATTATCTACTGTTACATGTCAAAATGATATAAAAAAATGAGTTATCGTTTGGTTCTCGTTTTTGTTTTCGTATTTTGAAAAAGGCAAAAACGTGTTTGGAAGGTTTTAGGGTGCCAAGATAACTCACACGCACACATACAAATTAGAGACGATAATAGCATAGAAATCACGATGTATTGTTTCCAGCGTTTCGATTTATGCTAAGAAGCCTGAGAGAGAACAACAATGAAGATGGTCATGGTGATTTCTGACAGCGATGGAGAAAGAGCAACAATGAAGATGGAGAGAGAGGAGCAATGGAGATGACGTTCGTATGAGATGAGTTTTTATACTCCAACGAAAAAAGAATTGTTTTGCTGCTAAGAAGACTTGAAACGTGAATCTCATTAACTCCCCTAGCCCCCTCACGTGCGTTTTGCTTGTTTAGGAGAACATCTCTTTTTTGTTCCTTGTTTTCAAAATAACTTATTTTATATAAAAGAGAAACAAAAACATGAAATACGAAAAAAATGCGAACCAAACAACCCCTTAGTTACTTACTGTACAATCTTAAAAACAAATATTTGTAAACAATTCCATTAGTTAAATATTGGTCCTGTTTACTTCATGAATTTGTCATAATGAAACGATATCATATCTATTTTCACAGTAAAATTATTAATTTTATTAATTATTGTTAAAGAATTATTAAAAATTATAATTTTTAAGTTGTTAAATAATAATAAAATATAAAATATATTTTATTATAGATATATTATGACTGTATTCCTATCCTCTTTTTTGAAAGTTTTACCGTATCATCAAATTTATATCATATTATAATTTATTTATATTACGTATTCGTATGCATGCTTCTAACTGAGAAGACGTTGCTCTCATCTCCTTCCACGTATATACTTTTGGACGTAGTTGAAAGAAATCAAAAAGTCTCTCAGGACTCAGATTACAGCAGATCTGGTCTGGACTAAGAAACCAAACAGTGGGTCTTCTGAAGCCATCTCTATCTTATCAGAAAGATTCGACCCATTAGACACGTTTCCATTAATGCAACGCAGATGTGAAAACCATTGCATAACCAACTCACATGTCACACCTCGAAGCAAAGTCAAATGATATAAATCTACTGAATAAAAAATATCATTATAGACACCTCCTTTTCTAGCTTTGTTATCACCGTGTCTTCCACCACACCATGAACACTCTCAACAAGCCTGGTCCCGAGCAGCCAGACCCACCATTCTTGTCCATCACGGGAGCGATCTCTTCGCATGTGATTGATTGTATATAAGTCAGTGTACCCTGTGACCTTAGCCGCCTCTAAATCTCACAGAGGCAGAAGCTTTATAGACTAGGTCTACCTCCTCCTTCAAGTGACTTACTTTTAACCTAACAAATTTATTAAACGCGTTGAACTCTAATATTAATCAGATATAACACTTCGGTTCTCAACTAAATTTGAGACTCTAATGTACTAATGTTATGTCAAATTCATATACCATATCGTGTGCACACACAATTAGGCAAGATTGCAAGAACTAATCAAGTGTGGCTGTGTGTGTTTTTGAAATTGCCTCTTGCTTTTGGTGGCTCATAATACATATATAGTATATAGATATTTGTTGCATGTGTAGAGAATCAACTTTAATCATTTCACTATAGTTTTATTTTTTATTTATGTACTATAATTGTCGCTAATATACCCGACCTAATGATGATTTTTAGATCATGTGTGTGCATGGGGCTGGCACAAAGAAATATACAAAAGCAGAATAATTATAGCTAAAGTTCACACCTTGGAATATCTAAGCCTATTGCTTGATGTTTTATTAGGGTATTATGACTATTAGACATAGAGTTTTTGAGTGTCTTCTACAAAAAGTTTTTCAATGTTTGTGTTATAGGGTTTTTTTTTTTTTTTTTGTGTTACAGTTAAATATAAGTAAATTAAGTATCATTAAAAAGTTAAATTCAAAATTACAAGATTAATTCTGGATTTTTTTTGTGCTTTATGATTCATAAGTTTTTTACTTATTGTAAAAACGAGATTATGCTCCGTTTGGTACGAGAGATAAAAAATTGGACGGATGAAAAAGTGTGAAAAATACACTTTCCATCATTGAAAGAAAGAAAAATATTTTTACTCCTTTGTGTGGTATGACACGTTGAGTGAAATTTTTTGAGTGAAAATGTTTGACATGATATGATGGATTGAAAATTGAAAGAATTAATTTTTCATTGTTTGGTATTAGAAGAAAAATGAAAAGAAAGAAAAGATACATGTACTTAATTTACCATTATACCCATACAAATAAAATTATTTTTTTATGGTAAATAATTTTTTTAAGATTTTTAAATGTTCAATTTTGCTTTTGTTAGGTATAAAAATAAATAAATAACTAAAAATATGTATACCAAAAATAATAGCAATATATATATATAACAGGGTTTCTTGATAAATGTGTAAGTTTGAATAGAAATTATGACATTTTACAAGTATATTCAAGGATAA